TTTATTTTATTTTATTTTATTTTATTTTATTTTATTTTTTCCTAGATAAAACTTATTAAAAAAAACATATTTAACAAACACTACTCCGTGCTTCTCCCAAATCTTCTCTCGTATTCCTACCTATCCCCGCGTGCTTTATAACTGCACACAGCAGGCGAGCGCGTTTTTTATTTCTTCAATATTACCCGAACTGTTCCAAAAACCATTCTAAATTTTCGTGAATTTTCTGGCTTTGTGACATTTTGAGCTGTTAGGCGAAATTGCGAATTTCGTATATTTTTTAAACTTTAAAATAAATCCAATAGATAAATAAATAATTTTGATTTTAAGGACTGATTTTTTCTCTATAACTCTGTACCACAATGCACTTTGTGATCCGTGTATCACGTGATATAAAGATGACACAGACGAGCACAAACCAAGATGGCGGCCACAATTAAAGACACGGAACAAGAACAGCAAAGAAAAACCTTCCCGAAACCCATCCTCATCAACAAACTAGAAGGCTGTAGCGATGTAGTCAACATGGCAGTCACTATCCCACACGAAGATGCTATTATTAGCGTCTCCGAAGACAAGTAAGGCTATTTCTTTTAAAAACTTTGACACCAACGTTTCTTGATTGTTTTTATAGCTTCTTGAGTTTGTTTACATCTTTTTCTCGATTAATCTTTCATCTAGAATTTTTTTTATTTTCATCATTTTTAATCTTATGTGTTCTTTCTTTATCGTAGTAGTATCAGGCTATGGATTAAGCGAGAAAGCGGCCAGTACTGGCCGAGTATTTGCCACATGATGGCGGGTGAGTCTCGAATTTCTTATGGCTTGTGTAACACTACTCGACTAAATACAGCAGTTAGATATTTGAATTTTATTCTAACATTTTTCCTGAAATGGAAATAACAATAAGAAATAATAATTCCAATGAATTTTATTGTATTGCCTAAAGGAATTCAATTCAACTCAATCTTGCTCTGGAATATTAGATATATTGGATTCATGACAGGCTTACTGTTTTTACAGCACAATTTAATCCAATGATGAATAAATAAAGATCTTAATCTTGAATACTTTTAAAAAGAATTCCACTTTTTGCAGTAAAAAAAACTGCAGAACGTTTTCTGCAAGCATACTAGTGTATCTTTAACTAGCTATTTGACAAACATAATTTACTGTATATTTATATCATCTTCAAACGTAACGTTCTTACAGCCGGTTTCACATTACTTTACTCTTTCGGGTTGCATAGTATGTTCAGAAATTCCAAAGTTGGCAACCAACTTCGGAAATTCAAAATGAAGTTCATTATGAACTTCTTAACATCACACCCATGCTCAGAACTTGGTTTAGCATATAGAATTTGAAGTTCCCAAATGAATATCCCAAAGGAAATCCAGAAGCATCTATTTCACTATGACGTCACATCAAAACAATCTATTGTTTAAATGCAAAGGATCATGGTCGTTGAGGGGGTCAAATCAACGCAAATTCAGCGAAAATTGTTCTAAAACCCGTATCAATACACGAAGAGAAGTAGAATAGCCAGCAAACGCTCAGAATATTTTTTAGCACATATTAACACATATTATATCTGAAAACCAGGCCATTTTAGATTRAAHTGTTTCGCTAGGAGCAAATTTTGTTGAATTTTCTATTGGATTTGGTGATTCTATTCCCCACATAAACAAGCAGTTACGTCAGATAGATAGCAGATATTACTGATGCATGCAAGTGGAATACAAATGAGACAAAAAGCATTGTATTGACTGGCTAGACTCACTCGTATGATTCAGAAAACAAAAGAAAATCTCATTGCGGGCTCGATAGTAACAGCTATTGATAGGTTTAGATCAGCTGAGAAAAGTCTTTGAATCTCATTATCTGCTCCAAATGGTGGTCAAACACTAACCACTATTTGCTGTCAGCCAGAATAAATTCTATTGAAAACTTGAGATTCATCTGATGAACATTCTACCAAGATATGAAGGATGTTTGGTGTAACCAAGCAGTAAATTGTAAAACTACTTGGGGACGATATACTTTGACTTCTTGGATAATTTTTTTTTTTTTCTTCAGATGCATGTTCAAGTTTAGACTACCATGGCACAAGTAGACGACTGTTTGTGGGATTAGCAAGTGGAACTATCACTGTAAGTCAGAAAGCTTCTTAAGGTGCATTTACACTGAGCAATTTTCTCTGCAACTTGTCTCGCAACAGTTCGCCACACAAGTTGTTGTAGGAGTGTTTACACTGTGGAATGACGACACAATCGTTGCCAAAAGTAGAAATGAATTCTACTTTTTGTAACAATATGCTGCAACTTGTCTTGTAGTATTTTTGTGGCTACTGCCTGTGAACGTAAGTCCGGGAGAACATTGTGGCTTTTTCATCAAGAAAATGTTCCTCAAAATATGACCACCATTTTGTTTCGGTCACGCAACAGTTGCACAAAATGAATTGGCATAACACAGGAAGCCCAAATTAATCAATATCAACATTTAATAAAAACCTATACTGAAACCTTTACTTTCAACATTTTTTTTAGCAACACCGCTATTTCAATTACCCATAAATCCTTCATATATCTCAATAGTCAGCTACCAACTTCCTCCATTCCTTTCCTGTATAACAATAATTTCTTATGGCAGTAGCCACATGCACTTATTAAGTGCCTTTTTTTTTCAATTTGCACTGTAGGTTACATGTACCTGCTGCAATGCTCCATGCAAATTGTGCCACAATGCCATTGCAAGACAAGTTTCAGAGAAAATAAATTGCTCTGTGTAATTGCGCCATTAGACTGTACAATGCTTCTTGATCATTTGACTCATTCTTATTGTCTCATACATTTAAATCTTTTCATTATGGTAAACAAATAATAATAATCAAGAAAATGACAAAAAAAAAGCAACCAGCTTTCTACAGTACATTGTAAATATTTATATATATATATATGTACTCGATTGCAGAAACGTTGTAGTATACATTTATACATTTATACCAATATCTAATGAGATGCACAATGCAAAACAACCATTTCCAACACTTAAAATCAACTGATTTATAATCTGTACGATCTAATGGACAAGAAAAAATATTTTGACAGTCATTGAATGAAACAAACAACAAATAAAGCGATTTTTGTGTTTTGCATATCATTAAGTATACTGAATAAATTAGATATTTGTATAAATGTATACTACAACGTTTCTGCAATCGAGTGTATATATATATATATATATATACATACTGTAGTTGCTTTATGACCAGTCAGGAATTTATGAGAGGTAGTAAACATGCTAGTGGACCTTCATGTTGGTTCCTTCATGTACAGTGTAATGTTTAGAATATAAGCGGTCATTTTGTATCAGTAGATATAGATCTGAGCAGAAGACAAGGATCTACTGTATATCTCCGATACCAAAAATGTTGGCACTGCTTGTCCCATACTCTTGATTTTATTTCTTACACATACGTAAAGCGTACGATAAAGAATTTGTGTACGAAGGGACGAAACTGCGAGCACCAACTCACTAAGTATTTACATAGAGGGCGTATATAAGGCGTACAAAAGCTTCTAAGGGACAAGACTAAATGACGAAACAATGACGAAAATACTTAGACTGAAACGAGTGAAACAAAAGCTATAGAACACTTATAAACAAACCTAAACAAAGAGAACTACACTTAAAACTCATTAAAGGCTTTTCAGATCTAACAGAAAAGACCATAAGTTTTCTAAATTACTTCTAAAACTCAGTGTTCTATACGTTCCAAGAAGAGATAACTAGCTAAAAACGTTCCAGTTCAATAGGCAAGAGTTCTGTAAACCTTCAATTTTGGTGACCAAGAGTGTTCCACTTCAGTGAACACTTATTCATCAGCACAATCAGCCCCTATTTCCCCTGGGTCCAAAATCAAAACCGCCCCCATGCTTTTTAGATTGTTGAGTTTCTTTATCGGGTATAAAGATCCACCATGTGATGGATCTGAAGGACCTGATAGGTCAAAAATATGCTCTTTAATTATTCATGAGTTTTAGAAGTCCTCATTGGATCTTTTAGTACTCTCTAGTATTGGTTAGTACAGTGTAATAATAAAGTGTGGATCAAGAGACGTGGCCATCATTTAAAGTGGTCATTCAATCCACTTTAAAGTCTAGCCATTTACAGATGTATTTTACAAAGGCAGTACTTTTTCCTCGTTATTTTAAGTGTGGCTGCGACTCGAAGCATGATCTTTCGCACAACATTGCAATGCTCAACCTACTAAGCCAACCAGGTGCCAGTAAATTTGCTAGAATATAGGAATTTTCTAATCTGACATTGGGTAAACGTAACATTGCCTTTTTTACATTGTTAGGAATTTGAAGTGTCTGAAGACTTGAACAGACTTCACCACAAAAGAAATTACTTGGGTGAGTAATAAGCATAGATGATGTTTACCTAATAGACCTTATTCGTGGCATGACAATGTGGGGTAGGGAGTTCAGAGAAAGAACAAAATTACAGAGAAATTGACTTCACATTATACTGCAAGGATCAGCTCAATTTGATACATTACAACCGCAGTACAAATATATACTTCATATAAATTCTCAGGTACATGTATGACATTATTTATACTGGCGTGCTACCAAGTTTCTAAATTAATGGATTAAAACTGTTTAAAGGTATGCCAACCCTGCCAATTTTGGGCCCATATGTGCCCTTCAAGAATTCGTACTGTATGGAAGAAAATTGGAATTTCCAGAGGTAGGGAGGGTCAAAGAAAAAAATTCCTCTGTGAAGGGGTATGGATGATTTCTGGAACTACTGTACACAATAAGCTTGTGTCATGTAATTCCAAAACTCAAAGGACATAAGAGGAATGACTACAGCTGGAAAGAGCATATATTTTGTTTGAAATTAGTAAAACTATGAAGTCTGAGGGAATAGGCCATTTCATGGATCCCGTTACTCAACCCTAGCCTTATCGGCGTGTAATTATTCTTTAGAATTTTACTACAGTCCACAGTAATGAAAGGAATTTACACATAAAGGAACAATTGAAACACTTTGAAACACTACAATTTCACAGATTGTAGGCAATTTCAACAGAATATATTACACGCTGACGAGGCTGAGGTTGAGTAATGAGATCTGTGAAATGGTCTGAATTAAGATGCTCTTGTGAGTAAAGGTAATCTTTTTTTTCTGTTTTTACTAATTTAGAAATACCTGATAAAAGCTCATTGAAAACAATTCTTTTTTTTTTCCCAGCACACATGAATGTAGTAACAGGAATAGGCTTCTCTCTTGAACATGAATGGTTATTGAGTATAAGCAGAGATAAATATTTCCAATTACATGACGCAACCAATGGTAAACGACTTGGGGGATATCAGGCTGATTCCTGGTGCACAGCCATGCAGTATCCTTTAAATAAACTCTATAATGTATTTAATGGAATTTTTTCCCAGTCTGGTATCCTAAGAATCGTGCATTCTGATTGGCTGCGGGAGGGTGGTATTTTATATTCCTGACAGTGGTCCGGTATCTTGGGTTAAAGGATTGCTAAACAACAAGAGATAAATAAAATTGTAAAACAAGATAAAAATGTATATGTTAAGTGTATGCTACATCGAGTGTATAAGCAGATTAAAAAATCTGCCTCAGTTGGGTTTTCACGGGACTCGAACCACTGACCTCTCGTTTGCTAGACCAGATCTCAACCGCTCGGCCACTGAGACTTTACGGGAGAAGGTCATCCAATTTCCCTCCAATTATGGGGGGGGGGGGGGAAAGAGCTGATCTGTTGACTTGACATTATACTGTCATGCTTCCAAGTTTCTTAATGAATGGATTAATACTGTTGAAGTTATGAAAACCCTGCCAATTTTGGGTCCTTACATGTATGAGGCCTCCATTAATCTCTTCTTTTCCGTTTACCATCCCCCACCCCTCCCCC